CTTTTAGGTTAACGTGAATAAAAGTCGACGAAAAAGTCCACCACCTTTGCCGATGAAAATTCTTCCCTTAAGGGCAGGAAAGTGAAGAATTAAGAGAACGGGTGCCGGATTCCGAGTAGAATCGGCGACATTCGAGGGAATTCGACGCGTCGACGCCGTGGCGCGTCTCGGTCGGCCTCTTCCGAATTTAACCCATACTACTAACTAATAGCAGCCCTAGAATGTGTCTACAATGTGAACTGAGCGAGCAGACGTTTACCTAATTGCTGGTCACAAAAAACCGCGCGCCGCCCTAACCACAGGCCATGGGCCTTGGGGCCTTACGCGCCTCCGCGCCGCTCTTCGTCTTCCACGACCGACCTCCTCCTCGCCGTCTCGACCTACTCCCAAAAGGTACAAAAACACGGCCCGGATCGATTTCCCCACCCCGGTCGCACGGCCGACCTAAGAATTGACGGGGGCGCCATCTCGAAAGGGCTTACCGACCAATTTCGCGGCCCTTACCGACCTTATCGCCGGGAGACTTTCCGGAACGTTGCGAAGCCTCGCCTCGCGAGGTCGCGCCTCTTCCGGCGGGACCGAACATTACTCAAGAAAAAAAAAAAATTCGTCCACGACTCAGGAATATTTATTGCGAATAAGAAAAACCAACAACAAAATCCTGCCATCGGATTCGTCCAAAGAAACGTCAGATCGAGTTGACAAAATTCGTTCAAATCAATATCTAATTTTCCTCTCAACGCTGCGACGAAATTTAATGTATCGTGTCGACTTTGATCCTATCAAAACCCGCGATGTATAAGTATCGACCGCGAATGCCGCCTTATTCACGTTCGATCAATATTTAATCCGGATATTGAATATCAAGGAGAACAAACTTCCTTCAGTGCAGTTGCTCCGAGAACAAGGTCGCTATGGAGATCTGAATGTTCTCTGTCAACGCGATATTAAGTTTTATCTGCCTAATATTCAACTAGAAATTGATGAGTCGGTTGCACCAATATGTGAGTTAAAATCCTTAATCAGGGATTACTTAACTCAGAATTAGAGTAAATTCGTTCCATTTCGGATGGTCACGAGACAGCGGATTTTAATCTTCGGTTAGCCTGACTTTTCTGGGTGCAACAAAAATTTCACTAATCCGGGATTGACTAACCATAGTTAAAAAAAATTTCAAGATAACCACAGTTGGTGCAACCTCACCTTGGTTAAATTATTTTAATCAAATATCTACAGTTAATCGCCCGAAGTCGGGCGATTAATTTTAATCCCAGATTAATCCTAGATTAACCGACCGTTAGTGTACACAACCTCGAGTCGACCTGCAACCTTTCTGACAACCTTGGATTAGAAGAATCTAGAAGCGACCCGTGGCGTCCTAACCTGGGCGTTTATTACGTATTTTTGACGAGCTCGCTCACTTCTCGCACTTTCATCTCACATGAGTTTCTTCGCCGAATTACGTATTCACGGAACAGCTACTCATTTTTCACATTTTCGCTCAATTTGCTTTACGTAATAGACCCCCAGAGTCGAAGACCGCGACGTGAACTGAGCAGTCGCGGAAGAGCAACGGGGGCGGAAGGAACCACGGGTAAGAAGGACGTATCTTCGAAGGGTAAAAGCGAGGAAGAAGTTGGAAGGAGACCGCCAACTCCTGGAATTCGAGGTTAGGGCCCCTGTGGGACTCCCAGCCGAGGTCGCGTCGCTCCGGTGACCCTTAGATAAGGCACACGCCCTAATAAGAGGTTACACACACGCCCGCTTCTAACTCGGGCCTTACCTAACCTCGATCTAATCCACCCGGCCACCACGCTCTGTGTTTAAAGTTTTAAGACAGAGGTGGACCCGGGTGGTGGGGCGAGGCGGAGGCGCTTCACGACATTCCATCGAAAGCCGCAGCAGCTCCCACACCCGACCGGGCAATAAAACCCGCAAGCGAGAGGGAACGAGAGGGAGAGAGGGCGCGCGAGCGCGCAAATCGTCGAAATTTAATTCCTCCGGGAACGCCGGCGCTCACCGTAATAACCTTAAGGCATCGTTCGCAATACCCGCTCGGAGAACCCGAAAGTCGCGGGCTACTCGCCCTCGTCTATCATTACTGCCGCGGCTGTACGATTATACGGGACGGAACGTTTAGAGCTGAGGCCGCTACCAATCCCGAGTACCTCCAGGGTACCACGACCAAAGTCCTGAGACGACGACAAACACCGACCTTTATCTCGCTTTTCGCTTAGTCCGATCGTCTCCACTCTCATTTTCATCGAGTTTCCCTAAAATTTCGACGTTTTTCTTTCTTCCAACAGAAATTGAAATTCGATTCCTAGATTCCGCTGAGAAGGAAAGAATTGGAATTTTTGAGGCCCCTTGGTATGAGAATCGCTGTTCAAATTACATTATTCCCCATTTTCTGGCTGGTTTTCACGAACTCGTCCTGGAGCGACGGTTCACTTTTCCGTTTGCAAGGTCGTTCTGTACTCATTTCCTTAGGGTTTACTTCTCCCTAAGGATGGGATTATAGGTTTGATTCTTAATTGCCGGTGGAAGGGAAGGAGTGGAACTTCTGGAGTCTTTCTCTTGATGTGGGAGTCTCGTATCGCTCCTTGGGTTCCGTCCTTCCCCTTTTTGGGACTCATTAATCCATATTTCACACTCATCAGCCCCGAGGCGAGGTCCCGGCATCGCTCCTCGAGCTCTCTACGTCCTGCGAAATCGGAGTATCGCGCGAAACAATTATTCTTTATAGCAACCGCCATCGATCATGCGCCATCGGGCATGAAAAGGAGCCCGCCAAATTACAGGAAGGTGGTTAGGTTAATAGTCCTCCGAGGATACGGCGCAATCGAGTCGATGGTTTTACGCGAATCGCTGACGATGATTCCACTGGATAGGAAAGGATGGACCGAACCCCCCGAGATATAAATCAAACGCGTCATCCCTCCACGATACGGCTCTACACGTTTTGCAGCCCACGGCGGAACGATTGAAAATTTAACGGGAGGCACCTCTAACACCCACCGGGAAAAGCACCACAAAAAAACAAAAAAAAATCAACAAAACCAACAAGTGGAAACTTCATCATAAATCGAATGTACCAACGACAACCTCAAGAGGACCAAGCCAAGGACCGTAATCACGAAACTCGGTAGAGTTTTGCGCCAATTACAAATGATCACGTGTGTGCGTAAACGCTACCTAGTCTTTGCCGCAAGTTTCGTACTCCAATATCTATTAATATTTCAAGAACATTGTTACCTGTACCTCCTGTGATTTTTTAAGACTTTTTTCGTGTCACTTAAGATAAGGAGGACGGCTTCGAGAAGGAAAGCCGGGAAGAGGTATCGACGGACCAAAGACCCGGGGATCGTAGAAATGGACCCTTCTCGCTGTCCATTGTCCACTCTACGCATCGATTTAGGAAGCGATTACCTTTCCTCCCGAAACGAGACATCGGCTCGGTTCCAGGGAACCCTGCTGTTCCGATTATTGTAATTAACTCGTTCCTGGGGGCTCTTTCGTAAATGGGTGGTACCGGATCCCTCATGGCTACCTGGATCCCGATGTTGAATGGCGGATCTGCCTTTAAACGGAATATACTTTGGGAATAACATCCTGCCTATCAATTAAGCACGTATCGGCACATGGAAACCCGCCGCTTCCGCATCTGCCTCTAGATTATAGAGATATAGATAGAAACCCTGCTTCAATTCCATTGGAAACCCTGAGAATAGGTTACGTCGGGACCGAGACACCGTAAATGAATCAGGACGCTCCTGTAACGTGGATATGGCACTCCGATTATAAATAAGAAAATAAAATCTTACCAAAGTGGCGCATCGTAAAACCTGACTTCGAGCCCGCTCCCCTCTAATCGTCGGCGGGCGTTATCGCCGAATTTATTAGAAAGCTCGGGTAATTAATGAAAAGGAAATAAATCCGGACTACACGGGGAGATTTAAACGGCCAATTATGTCCTAAGGTGGAGATAGGAATAGGTTAGACGGTAAGAGAGGATATAACGACGCAACAATGCCAGGTTTACCCGACAATAAAAGAGTCCGGGAGGGATCATAGCCGCCGTCCCTTCGTGTTTGTTCGCTTTTTCATTATCTTTTATTGTCCCGGGCGGAGAATTAATTAAAGTTAAACAGCACTAACTGCCCTGCAAGCAAGTTAACACCCGCCATTGTTCGGGATTGTTTGCTCCGTTGGAATGGCCCGGTCCAATGACTCGACCCGAAGGAGGGGAAACTATTTCGAGGAAGAATCGAATCTCAGGAGAAACGTCGAGGGATAAGAACGGCACCAGCGAGGCGAGAAAAAGGAATTAATCTAAGGCGGATGAATGCAACTAACGTGACTTCTGAACGGAGCTGAATGAACGTGGGTTCAAACCATCTGTAATGAAATTTTTTCTTTTTTTTTTCTCTCAATCCTTTGAATTAATTAATGCTCCATAATTGAGGGAAGAAACCGACAGGTCGACATTCGATCAGCCAGTAAAATTGACGACGCCAGTTCGTACTGATAACTCGGGGCTCGATTTCCTCGACCGCGATCATCTCTATTTCCAGTAATGACAATAAATCTTTAATACAATCGACTAGGGTGACAGTTTCTCTCGCTTTTTGGTATATCTCTACGGGGCGACGCTCGAGGGTCCTCCAGGTCTTCCTCCTCTCCTCCGGACCCCACGAGTTGGGCCCTTAAGGCCCAAATCGGTCCGGCGAGTTATACCGAGTTCGGGTACTTAAAGGCCCCGGGGAAACCCCGAAGGTCCCCGATAAGGTAACGACACGACGACGATTACGACGACGACGACACGTAAAAGACGATTTACACCCAGATTTTTCGGACTACTCATGTATACGCTTATAAACTAGGCCTATATACTATGTACACTGATCTTACATTAGTGGTAACGTCGAAAAGGGCGACCCGGGCGCCCGGAAGAAAAGGGCCTTATGTAGAAATGGGACCTAGGTACTATGTACAAAACCGAGCCGTGGGTGGTCCACATCCAGCGGGATGTCCCGACCTAAACAGGGGTATCTTTTCGAAACAGGGAAGACCCTTTTAAGCCCCTCTCACTTTTTCCAGGAATGCTTTTGCAAAGAGAGAAAAAAGCCCGGAAGAAATTTTCGCGAAATCCCGAGGAAGGAAGTTCTCTGTCTCAAAGTCTTAATTATAGATAACCATTAACGGGGCAGTTTATATCCTGGCGGTTGAGCCCACCAATTATTATATCGAGCCCTCAAATATTATATTAAATCTTCCTCCTAATTCACCCCGCCACGTATCTACGTTTTGCACTGTTACTGGTAACTGTTGTCCCGGACATAAAGACAAGGGTCGATAAAAATCGTAATAATTTAGTTGCGCCGATAAGCTACTATATACAAAGCCTCACCGGTGAACCGGAAGCGTCACAGAGCCTGTATTACAAGTACAGTGCCTTAGATCGAGCAGAACTTTGGTCGCAGGAGAAACCACGGTCTCCGCCGCCATTTTGGAGAACAACGGAGGGCCAAAATTACGAATACCAAGATCGAGACGCTGCCGATAATAATTTAACGCGCCGAGCTTAATGGAACTATATACAGACACCAAGGATTATATTACATGGGGTCCCTAACACTGGGAATTACGCTAACGCCTAATGTCCTCTGCACTGACAACTCTCCGCCGCCATTTTGGATAGTAACGAAAAACAACAAGTATCAACGATCGACGCGTTATCGACGATAATTTAACGCGAAGAGTTGAATGGAACTATATGGCCGCCATTTTGGATAGTTACGGAGGACTACGAATATCAACGATCGACTCGCCTATATCGATAATAATTTAACGCGTCGAGTTGATTAGAATTATGTACAGACGAGGACTATGTTACAAGGGGTCCTTTTTAGGGAGTTTAACGCCTCATGATATCTTCTATACTGAATCCCAATTTCGGCGCGGTGCTGGTCCTCTGTACCGGAAGTAGGGTCCCAACCCTTTCGGCCATTTGCCGGACAGCGACGGACGCCGAGACGCTGGCCTCGGAAGGCACCTGAGAGTCAATCCTTAGGTCCTGAGGGACGTCCGCGTGCGTCAGGAGGTGGGTCTTCAGGTTGCTCCTCTGGTTGAAGCTCCTCGAGCAGACCGGACACTTATGCGGCGACTCCTCCATGTGCAGGATCTTGTGCACCGCCAGGGTCCTGCTCTGGCAGAATCCTTTTCCGCACTCGGCGCACTTGAAGGGCTTTTCCTTGCTGTGTATGTACCTGTTGAGCGAAGGATGCGTTCGTTAAAAAAAAAAATAAAAATCCAAAAATAAGACATCGCAAATAAACCTCCTGCCGTGAAAAGGACCTTGGGCATTTATTTATTACTTATTAATTATTATTCGTTATCTATCCATTAATCTCAGAATCGAGAAAGTCGTTGCACTTTATTCCGGTTTATCGTTAAAACTTTAAATAACAACATCACTCTAGAACTCTGGAATTTATTAATTGAAATTCGACCATGCACGGCGGGCTCTTTCCGACATTATTATAAATTCGAATGACAACTTGATAAGATTTGATAGTTATCAGGATATCCGCTCGCTATTTGTGCCTGGTTCCTTTTTAATCTAAGTAGGAGATAACGAAATTAAACATTTTCTACTGACCGATGGTCCCTCAGATGATCCTGCCTCCTGAAGGCCTTCCCGCAGATGTCGCAGGAGTAGGGCCTCTCGTCGGTGTGGGTCCTCTCGTGGATGAGGAGGTTGTAGCTCTTGGTGAACTGCCGGTTGCAGAACTTGCAGATAAACTGCTTCTTGGGCCGCTGTCCAGGGACCCTTCTGGCGAGGAAAGAGGCCGGCGGGGGTCCCGGGATTCCAGGATGCAGCACGTGTCCCTGATGAGCGTGGTGCGCGTGATGGGGGGCCCCCTGGGGGCAGCAGCCCCTGACGGCGAGCAGGGCAGCGCCCCTCAGCCAGTGGTCCAGGAACGCCGCGTGGTACCCGGAGGGCTGGGGCCCTTGAGGATGCTGCACCTGCATCTGCGACCTGATCCACCTGGGGGGCGAGCTCCTGGCAGGGTGCAAGGTGCGCTCTAATCCAGAAGGAGGGGTGTGCGGGGGCGTCAGTGGCTCCATCTTGGTCTCCATGGCCCTCATCGGTCCCAAAACGCGACCAAAAACTCGAAAACCTCCTTCAGCTTCCAGCCAGTCCTTGCACTTGCGACGAGGAGCCGAGGTTCCTTTTCCTTCCCGAATTTAAAAGTCAGGCCTCCAACGGGTACCCGATATGCCCGAACGACGAGCGACGAACTGCTTCGGATTCTGGACACTCGAATTTGAGGGCTTCCTTGGAGTTCCTGGGGGTAACCCTGGTTACTTTGGCCTCGTGGGAGTGGACGGAGGTCGGGTCGCCCTGCGGGGGTTCCCGGTCCGAGCTCTCAGGGGGACCTCGCGGCGCCTGCGCGCTTCCTGCCAAGCCTGGGATCCCCAGGGAAAAAAGAAATAAGAAGCTCTCCGCTCGAGGGTCGGAGCGATACTGGCTCGGTTGAAAAGTTCCTCGGGTTACCTGCCCAGGCTGGTGGCTCCTCCCGTTCGAGAAGTTGGACTCCCGGTTGGCGCTGACTTCCACAGGGGCGGGGCTTCCGGCCGGGGCCCCCGGGCGTCGCGACGCTACCCCTGCGGACCGGAGCCCGGGTTACGGACCGTTCCTAACCTAGGCCGAGGGTGGGGGCGGAGGCGCGGCGCTGGCGTCGCGACGCTACGGAACCTGTGTGCGCCGCTTATGACGTTAACCTTATCGAGTGTGTTGGTAATCGCTGCGATGGACGGTTATGGGGTGCGCGGAGGGACAACATGGCGGCTGATAGAGTAGCCGTCGTCAGGGTCCGCGAGACCCGACGGGATGTTTATATGGCCGCCATTCCCTCGTGGTTTGGTGTTTCAATTTCACGGCTATCGATCCTGCCTGGCGCCTCCGCGGCGCCGCTCGGTCCACCCTTTGTACTTCTTCTCCTCTTTTCGCCATTTTTAACCTTTTCTGCCAGTTTCAAGATACGTAATGGCAGATCTTCACCATCAAATGGTCGTCGAGTGCGCGCCTTATAAATCGAAAATGCTTCTTTTCTTCTATTTCGCCATTTTTAAGGTGTACCTAAAAGGTCATTCTATGTATCGAAACGTCAAAATTAAGCTATTCTCCAAACTGAAATTTCACGAGAATCACGTTCTTTCTTAGGATCTCCACGATCACTCGTTCAAGTTTCAAATGATTCGTTTCACCCGGTTGGAGTAAAAGTTGTAGAAATATTTTGACGTTTTTACGTATACATCATGTATTGAATAACTGAGTAAAGTATCGGTTAATTGGAGATAATGATAGGATTTTTTTCGTTCGTTTCTCGGAATGGTTGATTATCTAGAGTTAAATAGAAGTGTCATCCCTCGGACATTTCGAGTGGTCGTTCCTAACCTACATTTTTCTCACCGCTTTCACGACGCTCGAGTGGCTTCGACGCGTACTTTTCCAGTTTGTTTAGACTGCAAGTCTTTCCTCGACGAAGGACCAGGACTATTGACAACCTTCGTATATTCATAAATTACTCACGAGAGAAGATACGCCAAGGAGATGGGAAGGAACTCGGAAAAAGTTCGGGTCAACCGATCTTCTCAGAGATACTCGAGAGCATCCCATTCTTCCTCGGATAAGAGGCTTCGTTTTTCCAGTAACGAGGCAGGCTTAATTGCGCCTAAATGATTAAACGATATCCCTGGGAAGAATGAGCCGAGTCAGTTAGGTTATCTTCGATCACCGATCGCGCGATCGTCTTTGAAAGTCGAGCGAATTTCCGATCTGCTGATATTTCGGACTTATCGCGCGGCGTTATCGGAATTTATCGACGCGGAACCACATTATTTCCACGAATGGCTTCCCGAAGCGTAGTCACGCCGAAATGGCGTCTCTCTTGCTTTCCGAAAGTATTAAAAACCTGGAGTCGAAACTCGAGTTATATTCCGTCGACATCTCGTCGCGTCATCGAACGATCGTCGACCGTTCCGATCAAAATGGCCGGCCCGTCCTTCCCCAGGTGATTCGTCCCACCTCGAAAGTTTCACCATTCGTACCTCGCGTCCACGGGGACTTTTCGAGTCGAAACCGGTGCCAATCGATTCTCGGGGAGTGAATTTAAAGTCTCCTGGAAGCTCGATTCGCCTCGACAGCCGTATCGAGGTTAGCTCGAGGATATCCTCTCGTCTCGCCGGGCGCTCCGGGAACACAGATCGCTCGCTATGTCGGCCATTAATTGGAACGGCCTGTTCCCTTCCTCCTTTTTCCCTTCGTACCGGCGAGTTTTTGTCGACTCCCGCTGATACAGGTTCGGTAATCTCATTATGCGCTAACGATGTTGCCCAGCGTGATATTACCAGAGCTGCCAGCCGCGTTTTCACTACCAACTTCACGGCGGCTTTCACGCTTCGCTACCGTGTTTTCTTTCACGTCTACGGCCTAATTGAGAGCGGCTTCCGTTGGCCGATATTTCCGGCAAGAGCGGCTCCGCTCTCCTCGAGGATTATCGCCATAGCGGGGGAGGCGAGCCACCGCGACGTGTCGCTCCCCTTATCGATAAGCGCTCGGTGTAAAACGCCCTTATCAATTTATGGCACCGCGCAGACAGCGCGTCACCTCTTGATAAATGCCGCGCCGTTCCTTCGGGGAACCTGAACGGATCGTTTCACGGCGTTCCTCCTCTTTCCCCGAAACTCGGTTTTACAATCCGCGTGCAGGATTACGCCGGCCATTATCGCACCGGCTCGGAACGCGCAGTAAGCCTGCATTTCTTTACGAGGTGGACACACCCGGATCAGCCGTTTCCCTCGTAATCGAACTCCGCGTAGATTAGACCTCCGACTCGCAAAGGAACTTCCCGCCTAACCTAACCTCTTAGTTGACAAACATCCATTTTCACGAGGACCGAGAACTCCCGACTCGAGGCGGGAATTTTCAACTTATCCAGAGGTCACGTGGCGCTTCTCTTATTTTTTGTTTTTTTTTCGAAGCGACCGCCGAGAGGCGCCGCATAATTCCGGAAAATGTTTAGCATACAAAGATAAATATAATGGAGCTCGAGATGAGGCTGCGTCGAGGTTGCGGCCCCGGGCGGGGGTGGTTAATTCGGTTTCGAGCTCCATCAGCCAGACACACCCTGCGTCCTCCCCGGCCGTCTACAACCCCTTTGCGACCATCCCGATAGACGTCTTTGCCTCTACTTTGCATCTAGGAGGACAAATTCCGCGAGCAAGAAATTTTCAACGTCATTAAAGACAGAATTACTATCAATGGAAATTTACCTCACTCGGTAGAAATACCTCTCCACTGTTATTAGACAGAGTTATCAATAATAAAAATTCCTGAAATTTGAGGATAAACCTCAATAAAAGCGAACTTCGGGTGCTTCAAAGTGGATCGAAGAAAAATTCATTGTCGTACCCGATTATTCCTTGAATTAACAAAATATCTCCTTCGGCACTATTCAAGGGAATGTTTCTCTGGTTCGATGAACCTTGGTTTTTTTTTTCACCGTGAAAGGAATTTGTATCGCCATTATTGAACGGTGTTATTAATCATTGCAATTTACCTCACGTTGTACAAAAGAGCCTTCGTCGTTATTGGACCCAGTCGTCGAGATATAAATTTCTGAAATGGAGGGAAACAAAAACTTAAAAATGGGATCTTGGGTGCTCCAAAGTGGACCTTGGAATGGCAGACAGCTTGACTGCCGGCGGCTTTCGAAAGTGCGAGTGCTACCACTCCTCGGGATATACCTCGAAAAACTAATCACCATCCCGGCGAGAACGTGAAGAACTTATCGCTCGGCATCCGAGTAACCAGGGGAAGGCGTTCTCCACTCGAGAGGGCCATGACGAGGACTCTGCGAAGTGTCTTTTCCACGCCAGACCCGCTTTCGGGGCATCGCAGATGTTCCTCCATTAGGGCCGAGCTGGAACGAGAACAGCCCTTTCCCCTGTATCGTAATTCTTCTCCTTTTCGAGGAAACCCTCGAGATATCTGGGAAAAAAAGAATTACGACGTAGACCCCCGGAAAATTTCGGACCCGAAATGGCTCACTTGAGGACGTGTCTCGTGAAAACCCGTAGGTATTCCCGCACCACCTGAGAAGGGGACGCTCATCGACGTTCTGGATTAGAGCGCGTCCTGGACGCGCAGAAAAGGGTCCTCATCCGAGAATCCCCCGACTGCCGAGGGTCACGAAATGTTAACTTGCGCGTGTTTGCTAGTAAAATATTGAATATTGTCGCACGTCGTCCCAGAGCCGCGTGGCCGGGAGAGAAGTGGCGTAAAGTCAAATTTGCCTAGGTCGGCCAGGAAATCCGGACGGCCCGCCGCCATCTTGTTTTCCGGAGAAACCCGTAAAAAGTGACGAGCCCTGTTACTTCACGGGAAATCTCTTGAAAAATTAAATGTCATATGTACGAATATTAGCAGAATTCCATGTTAAAACTACGAGGAGGTCCTGGATATCCGGAATTTGCCGAAAATCGCCATGATGGAGGATGTAAACCCCATGATGAAGTGCACTCCTGGGTGCCACGAGGGCCTGACTTTTTCGGCGATTTTCTGCCGTTTTACGGCCTCGTTCAAAGGGTCAGGATTGCTTCTGGGTCTCTGGGTCTCTGGAAGAGTTTTTATTATTCAGGTAGTTACCGGTAGAGGTAGAAGGAAGGGAAGAAGTCGCGCGCCTCGTCCGAGAATTCCCGAAAAATTTCGCCATCCGAGTACCCTCGAATTCGGTCGTTATACCTACGGAATTCGGGAAACGCAGAGACGCACGAAAAGTCGACGGCCCTTTAAGCCATTTCGGACGTTAGAGTCGGTCGGGGGATAGTGCGACTTCCAGCTTTTCAAAACGGACTCGGACCGCTACTGCGCAGTCATAAAAATCATAAACATAAAAGCATAAACTATTGTCTACGGATTAGGGAGTAAAAACCCGTCCGACCTGGCACCCTGGTCCTCTGGTCGACGACCGTTGCCAATATTAAACTTGTCTGCGTTATTATGTCACCTCGGTAAAATGAGGATTGAGTCACATCGAAGTTCCGTATTACTGATAAAAATGCTTAACCAACTTAGAGGCGATGAATCTAAAATACGAAATATCACATTATTATATAATTAAGAATATATTAATTTCAGTTAACGAAGTTACTCAACGCCTGTTTCAGAATTCATTCGATGTTAAGCCGAAGTTAAAGCAAATGTCTGCATGTAAAAGAGGGCAACTTAAAGTCAGGCACGAACAGCCCCAATATTGCCACCTTTTGGGCTAATCCCTGGAATGAATTGTACGGCGAGAGGGGCCCTAAGGCCCAAGGGAAACTCCCCGGAAATCCGAAGGACTTTCCGTTAGCCGAGCTACTGGCACGATTTCCCGTTTTGGAAAAACAATTCAGCCCGACTTACCTGGCCGATAAAT